CATTTCTATCAAGACTTATTGAACTAACATCATGCTTTTCTAACATCATGAATGTACTAACTATTCAATACTCTTATATTATATTAGTTTAGATTGTTTCGTGAGGCACAGAAACATTTTACAATTTGTGATACCTTTCTCTTTCTGTAAACCACATAGCATATGTTTGGCAACTTAAGGCAAATATGTATATAAAACTTAAGTTTCAAAACTGCTTTGTCGAAATTTGAATAATTTTGAAACGCCCAGATACGTTATATACATAAGATTTGTTTGTGTTTCTTAAGTAAAAAATACCATATTCTATCTAGCAAGAGTAAGATGTGAAATCAGTTAATATAACGTGAAATGTAAAGAAAACATAATCATACGTCACCACATAGAGTAAGTAACAGAAAATATAACTATTAACTTAAGCCAACTGTAAACTTAAACACATATATACTTGCAACCAGGCAAGCAATCATGAGTGAGTATGTAAATATATATCTCTATCTATTTCTACTTGAAACACTTATTGAACATAGAATGTTTTAGAATACCATATTCTTTCAAAGGTACTTCTGCATCACCAGTGGTGGTTTATTGTGAAAAAAGGGGTTATGATTGGATGAGCCTCAGAAAAACGTCCAGCGTATGGGTGAAGTCATAGATTTATAGGGTTTCGTATAGACTAGGAAGATGTGAATTTCACAACTCAAAATATGCTAATCTCGTTCAAAAAAAGCCCATCTGTGATAATGACTACTATGACTCCGTTTTTTGTGATTCTTCCGTGCATAATTTTCAGGACGTTTAGGACATATTCCTTGGATGGGATCGTAAGGTCCATATTCACAGTCAGGCATGTGACAATAACCCGCCAACACACACCTATTAAAGAAAGACGAAAATAAAAAAGTTTAATTGCATTATAAAGTGATCGAGGTTGTTAAATGTACATACCTAATAACACAATATTATAACGCAATTGCACAAAATATAAAAGAATATTTTTAATAGACCCATTTCAAATTAATTAAAGTTTTCAAATATACAACGATGATATGCTGTAAGATTTATACTAGCCTTTTACTAATGACTTTTTGTTTTACAACCAGTATGTCTTGTTGATTCCAGTAAGAAAGAGATTAATCTTGACAGATACAGTTATCCATGATAACTTCATACAATAAACACACTTCATGTAATGACTAGGGTTCCACTGTAACCTAGCCTTGTGAAAAAAAAAATGCTCAGTGACACTAGTGCCCCTGTCAACAGGAACTTCAAGATTAACAATTTTAATATTATGAGAAGTAGACCTCGAACCAACTGGGTTTGAAAGTGTTATTTATTTTAGTCGTTCTAGTTACCATTTATGATGCATATCTCACCATTAAAAAAGTTATAACAGCAAGATAATCTAATGCTTATGAAGTAATGAATAGAAAAACATTTCAAGTACCCAATGTTATGACAGTCAATATGCATAAAACAATTGAATAAAATATTGAGAAAAAGACTTAATTTTAGCAATGTCAACGATTCTTGAACCAATATTGTTCTTCTGAAAAGGCATACTTGTCTATAAAAAAAGAATATAAATGAATTGAAAATATGTTTTAAATGCATTTGATATTAAGATTTGCTCATTTTGGAAATATTCAAAGTTGGTATTATTTCAGGTATTTCTTTTTTCCTCCCTTTTTTTTTTAAATTATTTATAATCATTACTTTTTATTTTACAATTTACTTTTATTTTATATTATGAACAGTTTTTGTTTTAAAGTAATGGATGTTATATAGTTACTACTATTACTAAGATGAAGTTTTATATTAATATTTTATCTATATATTAAATCTAAAACCCAGGACATGTCTCACTGTCGCAGTTGTAGCACTTCGTTTGAAACAAGAGGGAGCCCTCAATAGCCGTGGCTGTAATTAGATCTCAAATCGGTAAAGTGATGGAGCTTTGATTTTGTACTTGAGAAAAAACTCAGAGCCATTCTATGAGCCGCTATGCTGCGGCTAGAAATGTCAACATATTCTTTCAATTTAAATACTGGACGAGTTGGCTTTAGCGCCAAAACGTGAGAGCAAGTAAAAAAAATGGAACAGAAGGGTAATATTTATGAAACATTTTCTTTAAAAATGAAAATTATTATGTTTTGTGTCACGGGTGGTGAGACTAGCTGCCTTCCCTCTAGTCTTTCACTGATAAATTAGGGACGGCTAGCGCAGATAGTCCTAGTGTGCTTTGCACGAAATTCAAAACAAACCAGTATTAAACGTAAGTTTTACTTTTTTCCTATCTCAAATGAAAACACGTTGCTGAGTAGGAAATAAATCCTCTATACCGTTTTTCGACGTCAACAAGTGGGTCTCGCCCTCTCTTGATTCTTAAACAGGTTTTTTGGTGGTCAAAACAGTCACAGCTACATCTCCCATCAGGATACTCTCGTTTGTTGAATGGAACAGGACATTCCTGACACCTGGCGAGGAGCAGAAGAACAAAATTTATAGGGCTAGTGAACAAAAAAATATCTCTCTGAAATAACTTTATTTTAGTGGTTTCAGTTTGACACTATGGCTCAAACCTGAACCAACGGAACTGTTTCATTTACGGTTTGTTTTCAAGATATATATATATAATAGAGTTGTATAACACTTAAAAAACATCAGTTTTTTTCAGCTAACCAACACATAGGTTAGGTTGCAATACCTGTCGAAATAATTTTTTTAATGTTTCAAAAAGGTATATATTTCCATTTACAGTGCATACATTTTCCAATATAAAACATGTTCAAATATTATTTTCAAGATTTAAATTTCCAAGCTTTAGCTTATAAACCATCGTCAGTAAGAACTCCCTTTAAATTAACGTCTAGTCAAATATTAGGTTGTCAAGAAATTAACGTCGCGTTTTGGAACACTTTCATTACCCCCCCCCCCCAAATAAAAACTACATCACATATAATAGTTAAACGAACTGCCTAAACGTAATGCCTATATAATGCGTAATGTTTAGTATACTCTAATCCCGTATAGTGATGGAAATGTTTTGAACGTTCGTAAGTGTCAAATGATTCAGCAAATTTCGTTC